ATATCTTCCACCAGTGACATGGATCAGTCTAATATGGCCCTGAGGGCTTCCTCTGGGCCAAGTGATAAAGCAATTCAGGCATTTCAAATGTCTTGCAACAGAACACATTTGCAACACCAACAAATTATTTTTAACTTAAGATACAGATGAAAGCGATAGAGCAGCTTTAATGCCAGTAACACAGCAACCTTGCTGTTGGTGGAACACCAGAAATCAGATCTTGTCTGCAAGAGCTGGACAAGAAACAGAAAGGTTGCAAGCTCTGTCCTGCACTGATAAGGCAGAGCACAACTCAAAGGGTGAGCACAAAAGAACTCCTCTGAGCTTTGTGACAATTAGGAGTGTGCTCAGTCCTGTTGTTAACCCAGCATCAAACAGCCACTGCACCTGCGTTGCCCATTGGAGCTGCGAGTGCCAGGTCCCAAGGAGCGTGTCGTACAGTTCAGTTAACTGGCGATTTAAGCTTAAGTCACTCTGGCAAAGATCCTGCCATGCTGCCACCAGCTGCACCTGCAGAAGAAGAACCATTCTAAGAGGAGAACTGACAGTCCACACATCCAGCTATTATTTCAGACCAAGAACTTGCCATGTTCAGCACTTCTGCTAACACACAGTGCCCACCCTCGCCCCTCTCCCCAGACTGCAGCATAGCATTTTGTTATAGTTCAGCACCACAGAAGGAAAAGACTTTCAGCACAAAGCTAGAGGCTTCTTAGTTGATACAAAGATTTAATTAACATTGGTATTTTACTCATAAAATGAGCCTGTAACTGATACCTCCACATAATAGTTGAAATACTTGGCAAGCCCCAGCCTTGAACTTAATCCTCAAAAGTCACAGTCATGAGAGAAATTTGAGGATCAGGTTATGGCCACAGCACTGTCTGGAATTCCAACTTTTAATCTTCCTTGAAAAGAGTTTACAGAACTCAGCGGCTGGCAAGTCGCAGCAATGAAGTTTTGCTGACACAGCCACATCCAAGAAAAGCAAAGCAAAACTGTAAGGTACAGAGAATTCAAGCAGAACCCACATATCCTCTGCCTACTGCAAGAAGAAACACACAGCCCTGAAGGGAGACTTACTCTTGAAACATAGGGAGTAACTAAAGCTATTAAGAGCCAGAAAGAGAAGTCAGAGAATGAAACGTAGAACAGGTTCCATCCTCCTTCGAACAGGTAAAATACGTGATGTAGCAGCTCCCCCTACGGTCCAAGCCAAGCAAGAGATCAAGTCTTTATTGCTCTGCATTAAAGGATTATCCAGATACTGACCTTGTGACATTTATAATAGTAAGCAAGGAGCTGGGGCATCCGATCAATTTCAGTGAAGACTTTAACAAACGTTTTTGCCTGATCTAAACAAAACAAAGCAATAGTTCACAGTCAAAGGTGAGGGCGAGACATCAGCCTCACTGAGCAAGAGAATTCTTCTTTGAGGGGAGCACACGCAACAGCCTATACAGAAAGACACACTTTCACTTCTTGTTTGCTTATTTTCTCAGACAGGAGCGGAACTGCCTAAAACTCACACTCAAACAAGAACAGGCAGCAGGCACAAGGAATGAATTCAACTTCTTCAATGTATCTAGTATCCAAGATGGATAAAGCCAGAGCGTTTCTTGGGAGGAAATTACTGTTTTCCAGAAATAAGCTGCTATCTACAAAACCAGAACATACCTCACAAAGTCCTCAGCTTTGCCTTCACCACTCCCCAAGCTGCTACCTAACCATGTATGCTGCCTCGGGACTAATAGCACAGTTAGCTCTTACACGAGCCTTTGAAACCCCAGTTCCTCAAAGGTCTGGTTTGCAAGGTGAGGGGGTGACTGTAGCTCTGTCCACAGAATACATCAGTACTCAGTAATGAGACCTTGTTTGCAAACAGGACCCAGAAGGCAGAGAAACAAAAGCCCCAAGTAACCAGAAGTGCCCCTCAGCTGTGCAAGTCACCACAAGCAGATTCTCTGTGGACATTTACAGATTTATATTACAGGAGCTGGACTTCAGGAAAACACATGATTCAGTGTAAACAGAGAAACTCTTCAATGGGAGAAAAGCCCCATGTCTCCACACGCCCAGAACAGCCTCAGACAAGAGCTTCCCACCCAAACATTTTACTCTTTAAAGACCATCAACTCTGTGCTGATAGTGAATGACACCAAGAGCTACTGACCTACGGACTGGGAGTTAAAAGCAGCAACAATCTGAGGGCTGGCCATGGCCTCCAGCCGGTTCTTCAGGGCCTCCAGATGCACACACTTCTCAGAGTAATCCGGCGTATCCACGAGCATCGCCAGGCTGCTCTGCATGCTCGTGAGCTTGGCCGAAATCACAGACACATCCTGCCACAGGGGAGGCAACCTGGTTACCCAACACGGCCTTGGAAAGCATTAATACCAGTTCCATCATGACATTTTACAAACAGACACTTGTTTTGGAGCCAGCTCAAAAGCTGCTTTCAAACTCAGTTACCCTGCAAAGCTGAAGGCACAAGACCAGACAGAATAATGTGGCATCTACCTGTGTTTTAAGAGTCTCTTCAATATCTGCACTTAACGTGCTCCATTTGTCTGCTTCCTGAAGTGACTCTGCAGCCAACTGCATGCGAGATTTCACTCGGTCAATCTCTACCAGGACCTGAAGAAAAGATAAATCATGTTGCCCACTGAAACAAGAGAAGACTGCCACAGACACTTATCCTGTGGGAGCGCTTTTGGCTTGGACTTACAGAAAATGTGTGAAAAGATCCCCCTGTTACAAGGGAGAAGGAGCTGGCTGACAGAGCGAGAGGTGTTAAATCAACCTCCAGTGAAACAACACAAGGCTGGTTTGAAGGCTGGGCTGCACCACTGGTGTCCACTGTGCCCGAAAAACTCTACACACCCAAGAGGCAGAAATCGGTGTCCCCAGTCAGGTAACAGCAACCTTCTCTGAGCAGCACCATGCTCAGCTGCTCCTCACAAAACACAGACTGCACTGGGCTGTGTCACCCCCCTTCCCAGCATTAGCATTAAAAGAAGTGGGTTTGTCTATCCCGGGTTCACAAGACTGTTTAACAGGAACATCTCTGGACACAAGCTGCAGACGACCACTGAAGTAAGACAAGCACCACCTGCATTGACTGAGCCGTGTCTGCTTCAAATTTCTTTATATCTTCTTTCACGAGGATCATTTGCTCCTTCAGGAACGTTGCCTCCTGTTTCAAGACCTCCACTTCCCGGAGGACTCTGGGCATGTTCTGGAGAGCCTGATGGCTTGTTTCTGCAGGCACATCAAGCACAACAGTGAGAAGGGCGGGAGAGCCCCCACAGGAAAGAGGGAGGCTCGCAATAATCTCATCTGATCTTTAACACCTCCACAAAACAACATCAGTTTAGTTCACGGAACCACAGAATCAGCTTGGGCTGAAGGGACCTTAAGGCTCATCCAGCCCCCGCCCCCTGCACGGGCCGGGACACCTTCCACGGCCGCAGCCCGCTCCAACCCGGCCTAGCCCCCACCGGACCCTGCCCCGGCAGCGGCAGCCGCTTCCCTGCCGAGGCCGGGCCTGACAGGGCCCCGAGGCGCAGGGGAGGCCGCGCCGCGCCGGGCGCAGCTCCCGCGGGCCCCGCCTCACCTTCCACGGCGTTGTTGACCTCCTGGATGAAGAGCTGCAGCTTCATCACCAGCGTGGCGGCGTGAGCGTCCACCTTGCCCGGGGCCTCCTGCTGCACGGCGCGGAAGGCCGCGTTCACCCAGCTCTTCACCTCGAAGTCATCCGACAGGAACCGCGAGAAATCCATGGCCGCGGCTCCGCGCACCGGGGACAGCCCCGGCGCACCGGGGAACGCTGCCGGGACCCTGCCGGCCGCCGTACCCCTGCGCGCAGCCGCCCGGCGTCTGCGGGGCGGAGCGGAGCGGTCCCGGCTTAAAGCGCGGGAGGCGGGACCCGCGCGGAGCAACGAGCCGGTGCTGCCGGGGCAGGGCGGCCTCGCACCGAGAGGGGCCCGGGAAGGCCCCACCGGAGCCCCGCCGCGCCGGCTCCCGTTACCGGTGCGGACCCCGGCCCTGTCCTTTCCCCACCCGAGTGCCAGAGCTGCCCCCGAGCCCCGCGGTCAGCCCAGGGCCCGCGGGGCACACGGCTGGTTCCGCCCAGGCTGGTCCCAGCACAGCCCCTGCGCTGCCCGTGCTCCGGTTTGTACCTCCGGCAACCCCCATCCACCGGGGCACAGAGCAGCCCCTGCCCTGGCTGCACATCAGCACACACACCCTGGTGAGAGCAGCCCCTGCCCTGGCTGCACATCAGCACACAAACCCTGGTGAGAGCAGCCCCTGCCCTGGCTGCACATCAGCACACAAACCCTGGTGAGAGCAGCCCCTGCCCTGGCTGCACATCAGCACACAAACCCTGGTGAGAGCAGCCCCTGCCCTGGCTGCACATCAGCACACAAACCCTGGTGAGAGCAGCCCCTGCCCTGGCTGCACATCAGCACACAAACCCTGGTGAGAGCAGCCCCTGCCCTGGCTGCACATCAGCACACACACCCTGGTGAGAGCAGCCCCTGCCCTGGCTGCACATCAGCACACACACCCTGGTGAGAGCAGCCCCTGCCCTGGCTGCACATCAGCACGCAAACCCTGGTGAGAGCAGCCCCTGCCCTGGCTGCACATCAGCACGCAAACCCTGGTGAGAGCAGCCCCTGCCCTGGCTGCACATCAGCACGCAAACCCTGGTGAGAGCAGCCCCTGCCCTGGCTGCACATCAGCACACAAACCCTGGTGAGAGCAGCCCCTGCCCTGGCTGCACATCAGCACACACACCCTGGTGAGAGCAGCCCCTGCCCTGGCTGCACATCAGCACACACACCCTGGGGAGAGCAGCCCCTGCCCTGGCTGCACATCAGCACGCACACCCTGGTGAGAGCAGCCCCTGCCCTAGAACAGCCCAGCCCTGGCTCCCTGACCCGAGGGATGAGTGCTGCTATAGGGTTACTTGTTTGTTTAATTATAAAAGTAATGGGTAATTGGCCCAGGAAGCAGCTGGAAAGGTTTGGCTGGAAGCGGCAGTGAGGCTGCAGGGCTCTGCAGCAGCCTTCTGTAAAGCAGGGTCAGCTCCAGTGAAAGGCCATGGCAGGAGCAGGCAGCTTACATCCCTCCTGCCGAATAACGACCCAAAACCCAAAAGGAAGCAGGACATGGCAGATCGCTCCATACCAGGGGGCAGGCCGGCCCTGCTGGCATGTAGTCCCTCCCCACACACAGAGCTAAGGCTCCATGGCAATGTCCAAGCCTGCTGAACTCTAGCTGCTGCCGCCGAGCTCTGGCTCCGGGAAGCCGGTCACCTCTCCCACCTCGCTGCAGGGCTGCATGCCTTGGGTGAATGCGAGTTTGTACCTCAGCCGGATGGGATCCTGTGAAAGAAAGGAACAGAGAGGGGCATGTCATGGCTGCGGAGCTCAGCCACCCCCCTTGCTGCAGTGAGTCACCCTCTGAAGGGGCAGAGGAACACCTCAGCCATTTGGGAAGACCTGGATCTTCATAAGCACATAAGGAGCAACTGGGAGACCTGTGCAAATGTCCCCAGGGCATGCCTGGCAATCCCGGCCTGCCCAGCCTTTGTGGTGACAGGATTCCTTACATCAAGCTTTGGTCCATGATCATTCACCAGTGCAACACAACTGCTTGTGCCTGGGGTGGCATGTTCCACCAGCTGCAAACATCTGCATGGTGCATACCAGGAGCCATCTGCAGGTGGACTGAAGCAGAACTGCTCATTCCATCCTTCAGATAATACCTCTGAAAGCTGTTTCAGTGGGGAAAATGCTCCCCCAACAGCCCAGCGTGCTCTGTCCCCACTGAAAACACTCTTCCCCTTTTTCATACAAACACCCCACCACTATAGTGACATTCTGAGTGCTCCACCAGCAGAATCAACCATGACACACACCTTGTGTGGATTGGAGAGCAGCAGCACCTGGGATAGCACAGCAGGGGGGCGAAGAGGGCTGAAGGCAGGCAGCTCGGAACCAGAGGCTGGTTGTAACTTTATTTTCATGGTCTGGAAGAGAAAACAAAAGGAATGCCTTTTGGTCCATGCGGGACAAGGACTGGGAGTATCACCAAGCCACAGAGCTGGTTAAAGATACACCAGCCAGATGCTGTCATTTAATGAAAAGCACCTCTTTCGACAGGCTGCATCTGAAGGCAGATACTCCTAAATAGACAATTCTGTGCTGCAGGCCCCACCATACAACAGGTTCACCCTTCAGAAAGCAAGCCCTGCAGTTTCCAATGAGTGAGGCAACTCCCAGGCAAGAAGCAGTGAACCTTCTCCTCGGGACACTTCTGAAGTCCCACTCTCTGCTACTCATTCACAGGCTTCTCACCTTTGGGACTGCAGCCTGGAACATGATGTCCTTAATCGGCTGAGCTGATGTGCTCAGCATGGAAAGAACCATCACCAGCACGTCTGGTCGGCCAGGAGCAGGGTCTCTGGAGAAGTGGAGCATAGCCTTGAAACCATTCCTATCGAACACAGTAAGTGGACAGATACTACCTGCCGGAGACAAGAGGAGAAGCATGGATTCCCCTTCCTTCTGAGGGCAGAACAGCAAAGACGGGATAAGGAGCAGCAGAAAGGAAACACTCAAAATTTTACTTCCTCCAGCAAGCTCACAGAGCAAGCAGCAACACAGCACTGCCTGGGATGTACATTTCACCTCGAAGGCAGAGAAGGGAATCTGAATGTCTAAATTGGAGATTTAGCCACTCGGATTTCAACAGCCAGCCAGAGATGTCAGGTGTGGATCCAGGAGAGATGACTGGCACACACAAGATGTAGCCCCTTATGACCACTGCCTGGTAAATCCACACCTGCCTATCACCATCCAGTCCTTCCAGAATGTGGCAAATCCTTCACTTGAGAGACTGGAGGCAGAAGACAGAAGATTAGCCAGGGCAGGAGAGTCCTGACTGCTGAGTAGGGAGGACAAGGACATTTCCATGGTAGGATCCCTAGCACTTGCTCAAATTCTCAGGTACATTAAGTCCTTCATAGAACAGTCACTACTTTTCTCCAGCCAACCCATACAGCATGAAGCTACTTTGGCTTGCTCCCCTGCAAAAATCACAGAAGAGCTCTAGCAAGCCAAGCTGGGGCACAGAAATCATTGCACTTACTCGGTGTAATTGAAATTAAAGGGACAAAAAGGTTTTCTAGAGAAGCATCGTGGGAAGCTGGATGCAAAGAGGCAGCAGGCTTCAGCTCGTAGTCTAGACTGGAGAATGAGGTATCTGCCATTGAGCTATTTGGCAGATCTGGGAAGGGCAATGTCATTGGTGATAAATCCCTGGAAAGAAAAGCATGTAGAAAGCTTATATTAACTGGGGAGACTCTATGGTGTGTACCATCTGCTGCTGATTCCATATGCATCCCAATCCCTCATCCCTTTTAGGTATAAAGAAAATACAAGCTTACACTCAGAGTTCTCCAGAAATTCACAACCTGTCTGTTTTCTAAGGAAGAAGTTGCTGTGTCAGCAGTCACTAAGGCAGACTTTGATTTCTGTTACCATCATGAAGTTTGTTTCCAGGTTTTGGAAATCCATTCTCCCTGTGCACAGACTCTGGAGCTCTAGTCAGTGACACTGAAGTAAATTCTAGCTCAAGGACAAGGTTTTTGTTGTTTTAGTGCAATATCACCTTGTTCCTAAGCCATGGGATTTGTCTCCTCAAGTTCCTGACTCTGGTGTGCGATTACAAAGCTCCATTAGCAGGTCTGTAACAGCTGAAGAGCCCGTGCATGGATGGACAGCTTGTCATCCCTAACCAGTGTACCTGGAAGGTTTCCCTAAACCTCAGTGCTGTAAACCTGTACTCCTCATCTCCAAAGTCAGACTGTGTTATGCACAGATTCCTTACCAAGATAATGTCCTGCTGCTGGAGGGTGGAGAGAGCTGATCAAACAGGCCCTGAAGTGCGTTCTTCTCTGAACAGGGGTCATCCCAGCCCTCCTGCAGTCCCAGTGTTTGAGCAGCACTTACAACTTCACCATACCCATTGCATACAGCAGTCTGAAAAACAAGCACTTCTGGTTCATGGTACAGAACATCAGCAAAAATCCTCTTAAAAAAATCACCTCTGGTTTAATAACGCTACTTAAAGTAGAAATGAGTAATCTGGTTGCAAACTGTGACTGAGAAATTCCTGGCAGAGCAGGCGGGTTCCAGTTTCACCTTCAGAACCAGGTAGTGTAACAAAGGCTGCCAGAGAAAGCTAGATCAAGAATCACATCTGATTTTTGTCCTTTGTACCTTATGGACTAAAGCAGCTGAGGATCACTCACCTCTGCAAAGCCAAAATCAGAAGGTGGAGAGTTGCTGAGACCTAAGAAAGATGCCAAAATGTCACAGGTCAGTTACAGAAAACAAGGGTTTTGCACAGGTTCTTCCCTTCTTGTCTAGCAGCAGTCTGTCTACAGTCTAACACCAATAAAGAAACTACATTCTTGAAAACTCATGCCTGAAAGGGTCTATGTCCTCCTAGGGCCAACATTAGAGTCAAGTTGTGTTTGTATTAAACCCCATGACCCCTGTCACCAGGGATAACATGGCACTGAATCGCAATGACAAACCTAATGACTTCAGCTCCTCCTCAAGCAGACAGGCAGAGGTGGTGCTGCTGTGGCAGGAGGTGGTGGTTGTGTTTGCAGACTGGTCTGTGGCACACTGGGATGTCGCCTCCAGCTCGGAGAAGTCAATCAGGGTGTAGCTCTTCATGCGCCTTTGGGGTGGCTGGTGTGCTTGGAAATAGGAGAAAGAGTTAAAGAGAAACCTCCTGAATGGAACTGTGTATCCACAGCACAGGCATGCCCAAAAGGACTCCCAGGGGAAGAACCTCAAGAATACTTTCTATTATCAGCCATACGTGAAAGAAAACGATGGCTACGTAACAGTTTGCCTGTGTTACAGGGTTTTAGCCACATTTATTTTCCAAGAAGCACTTCCCTTCCAAACCCCGCTCACACTGATGAGTAGGAACAGAGCTGTCATGGAACACTCTTTACCTGGTGCATCCATAGAGCTGGTGACTGGACCTCCCCCAGCCCCATCTTCACGGCTGGCTACAACCTGCCTGTATTGTCCAAGTGCCTGGATGAGCTTGTCATTGGCCTGCAGTATCTCAGCTGGAAAACAAGAGAAGAAACACACCATTAATGTCATAACACAAAGTTCAACTTCACCCACATTCAACCTTCTCACTCACAACAAGGAGTTCACAAGTGAGAAAAAAAACATGATTCACTGTAACAATTCTCAGTTAAGATCTACTTTGTGTGAGTTTCTGGAGACTCAAATTCACTTAAAATTAGCTTGAAAACTTACTTCAGAACTTTTTTAATTTGGTGGATGAATGTGGTACTGTGTACCCAGAACAGAGCAGTGGAATCACCCTCTGATATAGTGTGTGGAGCTCCTGTGGAGGGCTCCAATGGGCTGATGGGGCTCAAGGGTCTCATCAATCCTGGTGCGGTAACAAACCCATCAAGTTACAGGTGAGGGGATGAAATCTTCCCCCTTACTAGCATAAAGACCCCGTTAACATGACAGCCACCTTGGCTGGAAGAAACTGGATTCACTGTTTAACTCTGGGCTCCAAGTGAAAATGAATCATTTTCCTGAATCATTTAAGTCAGAGGAGACTTAAGCCACTTCCATGGGGGGCATGGTTTAAAGGTGAAATGGAAAGCTCTGCCTGCTGGGTAGCAAGTGCTGAAGCATTCCCCCTCCCAGGGAAGGGCACACCCCACTTGTCAAAGCAAAGGTAGTTGAGCTTAGCTGCAAAGAGAGGCAAGGACAGCATTGGCTCTTACCTAAAGCCTCATCATCATCCACTGTCTCACTGGCAAGGCGAAAGAGCAGTGGTCTGAGCTTCTCACAGCGTTGAAACAGAGTCTGTGGAAGGAAATGTTTCAGAACATTGCTCAGGAGATCCCAGGCATCCTCACAGTTCTCTGTCTCTAGAATCACCTGAGGAAGAGCATTTACCTGTAGGGCCTCCTGGTCAGATCTGGATAGTTCCTGTCTCTTGTAGTTTTTTAATAACTCATCCATACATTTAATGTTCTCAGAAACCTCACTGATGGTGTTCACTCTTCTGGACACCTGAGCTGACTTTTCTTGTTCCTGTGATGAAAAATGACATAAAGGTAGATGATGATTTGGCTAACAACAAATCCTGAAAACCCTCCCTCCTCTGGGCAGCCCTATGGTCCGGAACAGGGGTCCTGGTCACAGCCTGAACTGCCAAGTCACCTCCCACCCTCCCTGCTGCAAGCACAGCTCCTGACCCAGGGGCTCCCCACCTCCTTGATCATGCTCTTGATCAGTCGGTTGGCAGCCTGCAGGTCCTCACGGTGGTTGCTCTTCAGAAGCCTTGCCAAGAGCTGTCAAGGGGAGAGCATGGGACAGCAGTGAGTGAGCAGCAGGCTCCAGGCACACATCGCATAAGAGCAGATACTGAGACACCCGCTGTCAGAATAGTTTCTATAATCCTGGAAATATGTGGGCTCACGTCCCATCATCTAATCCAGATTATATTGCTGCCTCCTACAGCTGCCTGCATACACGGCTTGGATGCTCTGGGAATGGGAACACTCTGGCTTTGTAGAATTTCTGTAAAAGAGAAACCCTCTCTTGGGAAAGTGCAATAGAAACTGATGTTTTCCTGTAAAATGTTTCACTTTTACTAGGCAAAAACTTCTGATAAAGCACGAAGGAATTCTCTGCTGTTGTACAGCAAAAAGCATCAGCATCATCCTAAAAATACTGTCTGAAACAGGCAAAGCTCCCAAAGCACAACTGAGCTTCTTTGCTCATCAGTACAAATTGGTGAGGGGCAGGCATGAAACCCTGAGGTTTTACCTTGGATTTCTCTTCATCTGTGTCAAAAATAGAATTCTGAGGCCTCGGAGAAGGGGGAGGCAAAATTTTGTCTTCTGGCAATTTGGGGTCTTCTTTTACAATCCCTGCAATGGGTAAAAACAGTTGCTCAGTGGCACCCACGCTGTTGGAACACTCAACAGTTCATTGGACTTTGTACCTATTTCCTTCACCCCTCCACAGACCCTTCCCAGGAGAAAATTCCAGGGCAGAGATCCCCAAGTTTGTCCTGTACCTTTTCCCTGCACACCAGTGGTGAGCACTGTGAGAACAGAGGCACGAGGCCAGCCTGCTCTTTAGCAAAGCTGTTCTTTGGTACATCTCTTTGAAGTGTTCCATACATCCTTAAGGACCCCAACAGTGTGTAAGTGTGACCCCTGTCCTCTTGCCCTCACACACAATGTTTTAGGAAAAGCTGAGTCACAGGCTGAAGAGGACACATCTGTGCTCTCCAACTGTGCCACTTGGAAGGCTAAAAAGGAAACCGAAATAGCAGAACTAAACCTTGTTTCTTCAGCATTTGATAAGCATCCCGAATTTTAACTTCCTGAGGAAACCAGACTGTCCAACTGAATATCACTTCTGTGACTCTTGACTTGACTTTTGCTGAAGACCAGGTTCCATAGTACTGAAAACCAAACAGACAACAAAGTTTAAAGGTAAGGAATTGGTGCCAGGTAGAGCATCTGGGTCTGGCCCCCCAGTGTCTGTGTGCAGAGTCTAAGTAGCAAACAGATGCCCAGCACTTCATTCCTCGTGATGTCAACTGGGTGTCTTGCAGTACAGGAAGTAATGTGGATTGCTGTGGCTGTAAATACAGGGAATGCTATTAAGTGTATGATAATTACCTAAATGTTATACAACAATCAAAGTGAAATAATTTCAGAATTTCTCTGATCAGTTATTGGCTCTGAAACCAAAAGCAGATTGGTTTATTTTAGGAAAAACAGAACAAAACAAGAAACGAAACTTGTCTTTGGATGCTCTCTGATTTCTCTCACTATGAGTACTCACTTTAATGCATTACAAAAACATTGTGTGTGGCTTTTGCCATTCTGAAACACAAGGCATTTTAAACTCATTAAACAATACCTGCTCTGTCAAGACAGCAAACACAACTCTGACACTTAGGTTACACTGTGCTGTTCCACTGAAGCACCTTTACCAAACCTGGCACTGAGAGAAGAGGTTTTACTGCTCAGTTAAACCTCTTCCTGAAACCAGCTCTTTGCAGCTCTGCTGTCCAGGTGATCTCATGGAAAACAAAGCCTGTGCAAGTGGCAAATATCTACGGGACCCACTAAAAGGGAAGCTGATTACTGGGTTGCTGAGAAGGGTATCTAAGAAAGTTGCAGGCCTGCTCTGTGATGCAGACGGGAGTAATGCAGGGGGATCACAGGCTCTGATAAACACATCTCCATTTCTCATCCTGACAGGCACTGCAGGACAGAGAGAGCCCCCGGCTGACACCTTTTACAGGGGATTCACATCCAGTCCTGGTGCATGGAGGCACAGAATGAATTCTGCTCTTCCGTGCAAGATTCAGTCTAACTTTTCATACCCAGCACAAAGCAAACAGCCCGCCCCGCCAACAACGTGCAGCAGGACCACGATCACCTACCTTTGGGGACAGCACTTTGATCAGCTCATTCAGAAACCTGAACTTTGTTATTTCCCTGTGAAACCTTTCACCACAGTTATTCACACAGGTCTCCAGCACCTGCAGAGATCAAACCAGACACTGCACACACAAGTCTTGGGGGAAAACTGTGCCACTGTTAACACTGAACCTAAGAACTTTCTGGCACTGCATTCACAAACACGATATTGGGAAAGTTGCGCAGCAAGAACATGTATTTTTCCTTCATACACCCTTCTTAAGCAGCATGTTTAAGACCATCTGCTCTGTTCTATGTATCATTAATAACTTTTGGGCCACTGACCCCATGATGGAACCTCAGGTCAAACAGCACAAGCTGCAGACCACTGAAACCCCTCTGCAGAGCGACAGGGGAAGAAACAGCAGCAGTTCCTCCTTCTTACACCCAAGTTTCTGGATTCCTTGTGCAATGGAAAGTTAAAAGGGAGAGACATCAAAAAGGGAGAGACATCCAAGAGAAAAAGAAGCTGTCGTGCCTCTCCCCCAAACTCTGTTTCCAAGTTACTGCTGCCTCTCTGCATGTGGATGAAAGCACTTACTGTGAGTGCGTGGAGAGCTTCCATCTCCTGAGGTGACTGTATCTTATGTGCCAGCAGCCTCGGTGCAAGCAATGGGCTGGGGAGTATTAGAAGCAAGTCAGACAATGCACAAGCTCCCGAAAAAAAAACAAATGCTGCTGATTTTTGCTGCAAAGAGCAAGTGCTGATTCACAACCCTCTACATGGCATGAACACATGGGTGTCTGCTCTGAAGGAAGAGCATCGGTAAGCTTTGACCAGTTTAACTAGTTCCTGCTCCTTATCACAGAGCCCAGACTGTCTGCTGCGCTGTGGGATCTCCCACCTCTCCGAAAGCAAAAGCAGAAGCTGAGCTCACCCAAGGCTTCCCTGCAGATTCCCACCCAGGATTCCTTGGCCAGGCTCCCAAGAGTCTGGTGACAGAGCAGCAGAGACGCAGCAATGGACACCAGAGCCATTCCTAGACACCAGCCTCCCCACACCACACAGCTCTGCAATACTGACGCTGAGGAGCAGAAGAGCCCAGCCAGGCTCTCAGCTCTGTCCCAGGCCCTGTTCCCTGCAGCCATGAGGGAAGGTCAGAGCCAGGCACCCAGCCAGGAGCAAACCCCCAGAGCCATCTGCCTGCCTTACCCGTCCGTGTCAGCGTTCACCTGGTCACAGAACCGCTGGATGCATTCCCAGTTCTCCTCAGGGATACCTGGCTCAGTGGCTTTGTCTTACACAGGAAACAAAAAGACAGGAAAACAGCCTCAGCTTGAGAAGTGTGCGAGGGCACAAGGAGGAAGGGCACAAGGCAGGAAGCAGCTCCGACCTCCTGCTGCTCCCGCCTGCTCTAGGGCTCTCTGTAAACCAGGCAGAAGTGGAAGGCACAGGACAAGCAGGAAAGAGCTGGTACTAAAACCTGCCTAAAGAGTCCTCGGGGGACCCTCAGAGTCAAAGTCAGGCAGGAACCAAGGTGCTGAAAGCAGCAGCATCAGGTTCCTTTTAGTGCAGAGCACGAGAAACTTAAAACCATTTACAGTCAGCTCTCCTGGGACCGGACAAGCTTTCCTGTGCAGGAACAGAGGCACAGGTCACCCTTTTGAAACAGGGCTGCACAAGTGCGCATTCCAAAGCTCTGCCTGCATGGCTGGATTGAGGAATAACCTTCTTCACGCACTCAGCTTGGGCAGGACTGGGGACAACGAAGGACAGGAGAGACGGGGAGTGGGAAAGACGCAGCAGGTTAAGACAGCCCCCATGAACATCACCCTAAAGGGGCTCCTTGGAGGAGATGGGCCCTTCCCCATGGAGCTGAGGCTGCTCCAGCGCCCTCCCGCTCAGGCCCCAGCCCCACTCACTGAGCCACCGCTCCAGCTCCGTGGCACCGGCCATGGGCTCGGACTCCATCCCGGCGGCAGCAGGAAACGGATCCACCCCCACTCCTCGCCCGCGGGCAGCCCACACGTTTGCCTGGTGTGGACCCGCACTCCACGGGCTGGGCCCATGAAACACCCAGCCCACAAACACACCCCTGCTGGCAGCTCCTCCCCTCGCTGGGTGCAGAGCGAGCGTGGGCGAGAACGGAACCAAACCTCACCACGTTCCTTTAATCACAAATCATCATCCAAAGAGGAGGAAAACGTCCCAGGCCCCCAGGCAGGGCCAGCTTTAGCAGTACCACACGCGTGACCGTTCACAGGAAGCAGTCCCCCTCTCCGAGCAGCCTGGGGCTGCTGTAATACACGCACTGTATGTATACATATTTATATATACCTATAAATACCCACGCCAGGGTATCTGTGGGGACCTGCGCAGTCATAGCTGTAGGTACCCTGATTGCGAGGGCCTCTCCAAATACAGACTGATCGCTCAAGATGAACCGTGCCCATGTCAGAAAAAGCACTTATTTCTGTCTGTGTGGCCTGAATTTAACCAGTGATAAACATCTTGTTCTCCCAGCCTGCAAACCAGGCTATCTGCATGAGGTGACAGCAGGAGGACGGACCTCAATCTGTATTTAGTTCCTCTCTCAGCCAAAGTGGCTTATGCTTACTGCAGATACATACAGACCTGGACACACCACGATGACACCTGCCTGGTCTAAAGCTCAGCTCGTCTCATTAAAGATCATCATGTTGAGATCAAAAACTACAAGTCTGGGACACCGACGGGTGCTGCCTACACCATCCGAGTCCATGGGCTGCCTGCCAGGTCATTCCTGGAGCTCAGATCTGGCATTAGCTGGACAGGGCTTTGTGTATCCGTCCACACACTTCTTTGGGTCCCAAAGTCACCATCATCTCAGCAACACTCGGCCCACACTGCAAAAACAGGAGAAGTCATTGCACATCACTGCACAGATGGAAACTTACACTTTTCAGCACATGCTTATGTATCACCACAATGAAAGTGATAAGAGTGATGAGCTATCAGACTGCTGTTAGACCAAGGGTGGAGGTTTATTACCAAGCTCAAAAGAACGCTTTGGGTTTTTTTCACTCCTGAAGTAAGATACTAAGAAAGAGTGGTTAAAGTGATCCAGAAGGACTGAGGCCAGAGCATCAGCCAGGGCTGGGCTTTGACGAACTTCAGTAAAACTTGGGTTTGATCTATGTCCAAGCAGGTTGCACATAAAATTCCACATTCGCCCAACACCCACAACCCTGCCAACACTCCCTACAGCCGGTCCTGCAGCTTCTCCAGCTTCAGATCCGAGACCAGCACATTCATGCTTGGACAACTTCTGCCTTTTTGAGACTTTCAGAACAGCTCTTTCTTCCAGAACTCCCGTGTATCAGTGCACTCCCTTGTAACAGGAACTGCTGTCAGTTGTTGTGAGATGTCAGATACCAGTATCTTGCAATCAGAGAGAAGATAGCTGATAAAGAAAACAAGAATGTCACAGTCTCAGAGTGTATATGTTTTACCTGCTGTCCGCTGAGAGCCAAGCGAAGGAGCTGCATCACGTTGCTGTACTTGGTCTCTTTGGTTTGCTGGTGGAGGCTTCTCAGGTCTTTGTTCAACTCCTCCATGGTCAGAACAGCCGCCTGCCTTGTCATGAGCCTTTAGGAGAGATGATGTCCTCACAGATTAGGGACACAACCCACAGGATTCCAACCCAGAAGTGACTGGTTCAGCAAAGCAAGCACCAAGCTTAAATCACAGAATTATGCCAAGGACCTGGAAAACTGCAGGAAAAGCAGTGATTCTGATTTCTTCTTTAATAATCTGAGTTTCAGAGATGCAGAAGCCATTCTGATACTACTCCACTGTAGGCAGCAGAACTACTATCCCTTCAGGACAGTGCATACTCTGACATTTCAATTACCATCACACGGATTCAGCTACCACTTTGCTGTGACAAAGGACTAAGGGCAACCAGCTTTACAGAGAGCTGGAAATAACAGCTCAGTTTGCAGATACTGCCACCTCCATCACTCCCAAAACTGGCTTTCAGAGCTCATTTTAGGCCAGATGTGAGATCTGAACTGGAAAGGTGACTGACACACCACCCACCTAGCTGCAGAGTGTGGAGTAGCAGAGGGCATGGGGCAGCAGTGAAAGAGATTGGCAAACCTCCCCAGAACCCACTGGCCCAGAAGGACTGTCTGCACATCCCAAAGTAGAGCAAATTAAATAAGAACTGTGAGCATGTCCCACATCAATACAGCAGCCAAGAGCAACGCTCTGGGGCAGGCAGGTGGCTGTGCACAGAGCTGGGAAGACACACTTACCCTAAGACCAGCTTTCCTATTTCATCTGCTTCCCCAGACATAGTTTGTAGCTGCTCTCGGGACACCGAGGGCCTGACCCATAGGTAAGAATAATCACTGGACACCAGATTCTTCAGGAAGCTTATGTGGCCCTGGAGAAAGAAAGGAAAGCTGTCAAGGTCAGGGTTAAGCTGTGGGGGGAGCAAACCTCTTCAGTCTGAACCTCACAACCAGTTAAAGAGCAGTGGGGTGCTGGCAGTGAGTGTGCCACCACCACCAGCACTGCAGGGACAACCCTCTGCAAGCTGCACGGCTTCAGAGCTCAGATCAAAGCAGAGCTCAGCTGAGTCTCATCAAGGAATGGCACAAATCCTCAGCTCCCCAGAGCAGTGACACGGTGCTACTGCTGCTCGTACCTTTCTCAGCAGGAGAACTCGCTCCACATAGTCCTTTTCTAGAACCTCTTGATCCACTTGCTGATCCCCATAGACCTGCTCCACCAGCAACTGCAGCTCTTTGATCAGCTTCTGTCGCAGCCCTTCATTCTCTATGTGACGGGTGAGGTGAATCCTGCAACAAAGAAAACTGCTTTTGGACTGCTTTGGGTTAGACCAAATCTAATCATCCCAACCTCACATTTACCTAGTAAACCTGTAGGACTGCCAGCAAAGCAGCATTGAACCACATTCTACAACAAAGCACTTAGCTCTCATGCACCACAGTGAATGAAAGATGTGGTAACTCTCAGCAGCAGAGCATCCCTGTAGCACACAAGTGTACTTGCAGAAGTTGCCTCTTCTTAGATGCTATTTTGAAACTGAACTGAAGACCTTGCATCCCCCTAACTACACCTACGCTATGCCGAGGTGCTCACAGTGTTCCTGACACCAGTGTCCAAGCACAGGATGGGAGAGAAGGTGGGAACAGTGCAAGCAGGAATTTTTACTTCACTGTAGCACAGCCAAAAAGCTGCTGCACAGAGACCATGCTTGACCCAATAAAATCCCCAGGCAGAGCCAAGTGCTAGGAATAAACTCCCACTGACATACCCATTACCACGTTTAAAGTTACCACTGATATTTATACCTGTTGAATTCCGGGAGCTTTTCCAGATCCAGGAGGGCAGAATGGGTGGTAATTCTGTCTACTTCAAACTGCGCGATCAGCTCCTCCAAGGTCCTCCCCATCTGGTTCGCTGCAAAAGAACCCCACAAGGGAATGATTCGACTCCACTCTCACAGAGAAGCAGCAGCACCACTTGTCATTGCTGGGCTAGGGCAGCAGCACAGCCCAGCAGGAAGCAGCACAGGACAGCCCCTTATGCAGTGCTAGCAGCAAGCAGGATGCACCATGGCAAGCAGGAGGGAACTGGCAGCACGCATGAGAAGCTGCCCTCTTCCCAAAAGCAGGCTCTGCCAGCTACTGGCGAGGAACTGGAAACTGGGACACTCTGCTTGGCTCTGTTACCTTCCTTGGTGGAACAGCCCCTGCATCAGTCAGCCAAAAAGAAGCAACTCTCAGCCAAGAGGCTTTGCTGCCCAAGAAAGATTTGATTCCCAAGCAGAGCTCCCGAAACACAAGTTAATCTATGATCCCACACAGCAAGAGCAACAAAAGGAGACACTGACTCAACTCCTCATGGCCTTTCAGGTTAAACAAGAAGTGTGACAGACGTCACACAAGACACTGCAGTCGTTAAACACAGAATACAAGTTTTCCCAAGAGGTCACAGACAGTTTCTTCACCTTGAGATGAATTGTCCCAGCTGGGAGCTCATTATGGATCAAACTAGATTTAAATGGCTGCACAGAGGCAGAAAGATTCCCACTGCTCCAGCACACCAGCCAGCCTTTCACAAGAGCTCTGCAGAGCCCTGGTGGCATCTCAGGGACAGGCTGAAACTTTCCAACACTGTCAAAGTTCTCAGCTATTGAAACAAACCTAACCCTGCCCCCAGAGGCAGCATCACAAAGCACCCTTGCAAGTGCCCTGCTGTCACTACCTGGGAATCCCGAGCCACAGTTGGTTATGATGTCCAGCAGAGCCTCTGGCAAGTAGCCATCCCGAGCAAAGCGCTCCAGGAAGATGTCCCCCTGCCTTTTGGACAGCTTGCCCCCGTACTTGTTCAGAAGCAGCGGGAGGTGACCGAACTGAGGGGGATCCCAGCCAAAGGCTCTGTAGAGGAGGAGGTGCTTGGACGTTGAAGTCAGCCACTCAGTTCCGCGCAGGACGTGGCTGATGCCCATGTGATGATCATCCACCACGTTCGCCAGGTGGTACGTGGGGAAGCCATCCCCTTTGAGGATCACCGGGTCACCCTCCACCTCAGCCACTTCGTGCTTGGTCCAGCCATAGACCAGGTCCTGAAAGGGTTCCACCCCCTTCTCCAGCCGGAAGCGCACCACCCAGTCGAGGCCCTGTGACAGCTTCTGAGCCACTTCGGTAGGCGTCAGGTGCCGACACCGGTTGTCGTACCTTGGAGAAGGGAGGACAAGGGTCTCAGTTCAAGATAGACCAACCCCAGCAGCCATTTTACATGGCCAAAACTCTAAACTGACCCCGGGACTTTAGCTGCAACCTGCACACTGTGTCCAGACAAACAACCTCATCTTTGGATGTCACTCCCTTCAGCCTCTAAGGGTTAATCGTAGAATGGTTTGGGTTGGAAAGGACCATCTATTTCCCACCCCCTGCCACGGGCAGGGATGCCTCACACTAGACCATACTG